TTTTTTAAATCTATTTTCTCGCTTAAATTAATATTTTTTCAAATACTTGAGGTGGCTGAAGATTACCGGTAAACTATGGTGGCCAAGGCCAGATTTTTTTCAGCCAGACAACAAGAGTGTAAAAACAAAAACAAATTTATTGTTTTGCAGCTTCAGGTGGGAGTCCGAAATCAGTTGCAGGAACACGTCTTCTCAGGCAAGTGGGGTAAGAGCCACCTGTTGGAGCTTGAAGAGATGATATCACTGTTACTAGTGGGAAGGCAGCTGCAGAGGGAGGCCTGTAATGCTGTGAACTGCAGGGCAATCCGGGGTTGTGGTCCAAAAGGCGAAGCAGGGGTCATACACAGGGAGTCAGAGTTCCAATAACAAGTTCAAAGGGTCAAACCATAATCCAGAAATCCGTAGGCAGAAGAAATAGTCGAAACCAGGGTCAGATTGGCAGACACAATCAGGTGAGAAGCAGGTAGAACAGTAAATCCTAATGACATGGAGTGAGGTCGAGATCCAAAAGACAAGATGTCAGGCATGAAAACAAGATGGTTGGATATCAGAGACCATGAAAGGTATGATAATCTGGCTCAGAATGAGTGATCATGGGTCTTAAATAGGGCAGGTAACTGGGGCTGGGTACCTCTCTAAAAAAAAATGTGTGTCTGTACCTTCACTTCGGTGTCGGTTCCTGGACGGTTCTTTTTTCGGTGCCAATTTTATGATTAACATCAATTCTAACAAGAATAAAATTAGGTTACACATTACAGTACAAATCTTGAGTTTTATTTTTTAACTTTGGTATTTTTATATTCCAAGCAGTTTTCTTACATAAAAATAAATAAATAATTTTCAAGTCAAAAGAACAGTTTCAAACCAGTGACACTTCAGTGTCTAATGCTCACTTCTACACACTGACGACCTTTTCACTGAACAGTTTTTCTTCAGAAACATGTCTTCTTTCTCTGGACACAAACAAGCCCACTCCTGGCTGATGGTGTCTCCAGCAGTAGAAAATGTTCACTCTGAGGGTGTGGATGATGCTTGTTGCACACACAGATACCTGGTTGTCAGTTTGATAGCACTGACAAATAGAATAGTGTCCCTCACATTCCACCAGCTGGTCACTGAATTCACTGAGGTTAGGGTTGATGGCAGACTTCTGCACTTCTGTGCCTCTTCCTGAATCTTCTCTGTGGTTCTCTGGGGTTTAGGGCTCTTATCATTTCCCTAATTGACATTAGAACACAAAACATCAACAATAACATGGTTGTGTTATTATTGCTCAAAAAATGTTATCTAGGCTGAGAGATAAAGGCTTAACTAGTCAGCAATATCCTTTACAGCTGACCATGCTTACCAGCTCCACCACTGTAGACAAAGGCAGCAGACTTTAACAAGTTTTGGGGGCGGCTGTGGCTGAGTAGTTAGAGCAGTCGTCCTCCAATGCGAGAGTTGGGGGTTCGAATCCACCAGCAGTCACATGCTGAAGTGTCCCTGGGCAAGACACGGAACCCCTCACTGCCTCTGATGTGTGTCCCATCAGTGTATGAATGTGATAAAGCACTGATTAGTCTCTTTAGAATGATTTGTTCAATTAGCTTTGTAGAGATCTAGTAGAGTGCTGTATGAACGTGTAAATGAGACACAGATTGTAGTGTAAAGCGCTTTGAGTATCTTGAAATAAGATAGAAAGGCGCTATATAAGTACAGTCCATTTACCATTACCATTTAACAAAGTTTGTGACTGTCCTGTGGCTCCCATCTCACTTTTCTTTTGTCTGTCCTCCTCACATCAGGGTCAGAGCCTCCTGTGAGGAGAACATTAACATAAACAGTGAACATTAGGTGAACTGTTTAACCAGCTGACCAGATGGATGAGCACATTTTTACAAGCTAAGCTTCATCTGTTACTGTCAATCTTTAGGTAGCTTTTGATTTAGCTAGCTACGTAGATAGCCATAAAATAAAGCTACACACTAATATCTTAAAGTTAGCATTACATGGATCCTAGTCTATTTCACTACGAAGCACGTATTAACATTAACAAACGTAAACTTACCAACTGAAATCCCAGACACAACTCCTTCCTCGGTGCGAAGCAGAGTCCGGTTGTGGAGATGTTGAATCAGGCTGTTCAGGCTCTAACACTCACAGGCTGACTTTAACGCTGAGAGGAGGGGAGGCTGCTATCCTCTCTCCTTGCAGACAAACATGGAGCAACTTTCCGCTCATAAATTGAAGCCGTTCGACGACACATGCACTGCACACGTGAACCCCATCTGTGGGCATAATCAGCGCCATAGACATATGGTTATACAGCAGCTCTATACAGCTCTGAGTGTAAACACGTATGTCTGTTTGAAATATGTCTGTGTTTTACCTGCCTGCGTTCTGAAACCACCTGTCATGTTACAACCAATCACCGAAACTTGACACCGAAAGAAGAGTCATGTTTCAATCCATACACCGTATCGTAAAATATTGTTATAATAATAATAATAATAATAACAATATAATAATCATAGTTAATATAATATTATTATTATTGTTATATTGTATTGTATTGTTGTTCCGCCATATTGTTCTAGAATTGCGCCGCTCAAGGTGGCTACATCTTGGAGCAGCTCTGTTACTTTCATTCTGAGATTTTGCTTTTGGAAACTTTAATTCCTATTTTTCTGGATGTAAATCACATTTTTTGGATGATTGTTTCCTCTGGTATCCGATGCTGTGCAGCTGGAAGGATTTTTACTGAAACTTTTTTAGTTTTGGACATTTGTTATGATGTGTAACCATGGCGACAAGGCAGTTTTCTACAACCAACAGCAGCTGATTAACATCTCAAAAGCTCAAATAATATCTCAACTACAGCCCCAAATCTCAAATGAGTTGAAAAGGATGTTCTGTGGACGCATTCTCATCTACCTGCCAGCTGTGCTCGAGTGCCTGACCACTGAGATCCTGGAACTAACAGGAAACACGGCTCATGACAGCGGAAGGACAGGATTGTCCCTCAGCACCTACAGTTGGCTGTCCGCAGCGACAAAGAGCTCGGCAGACTGCTGGGAGGAGTTCTGCTTGTCATTCGGGCGGTCCTACAGCCCGGGGGAACCGAGAGGCCAACAGAGTCTGGGTGGACGAATCGAACGGCATCTGCAGCCAGTTTCTTAGGATCCACTGTGGGATGGACCTTTACAAGAGATCCTTCCTGCCTATAGCCATCAGCATCTATAACATCTCTTAATGAAATGAGGATAATGAGTTGCAACAAATAATAATTTCCCTTTGGGATTAATAAAACATTTTTGAATTGAATTGAATTGAATTGAATAAAAAAACCTCAGTTCAGTATACAGCCCTACAGGTAACAGGTGTTGGGCATGATCACTGAGTGGGCGTGGTTAGATGACAGGAGCAGAAAACATGACATGAAGGACTGTGAGCGAGGCAGGGGACAGAGGACATGATCATGACACCTCCACTCAACAGGATCTATCACTCTGAGCCACCTCGGACAAAGATAAATAACATTAATTCAACACTTGCTCTTGTCAAGGGCAGATGTCTTCTCCTCCCTCTCCGCTTTGCTTTTGCTCTGTCCTGTCTGTGAAACTGCTTTAGAGCCTCTCTTCTACAAATCTTCCGAATCATAATTTATGGATTTGGTCAGTTGGTCCCTCAACACAATTGACAATATTTCTTTGAAGAGAAGACAGGCTTCAGGCGAGTCGATTTGCCCTGTTTGCACGTACGCAGCTGGATATCACATCAAGTCTTCCAAGTCGATGATGTGTCTATCTCTACTGTCATCTATGGATTTTCAGGACGCATATATAATTGGATTTATGATAACTGGTTCTTGCTTTTTGGATTCGGCTGGTTCCTGGGTTATCAACAATCAAAGAAGTCATTGGCAGCAAATTTGGACCTGGTCAGTCTGCCTGCCTTACGATGGTTTGGTTCATGCCTCGAGCTCCCAGACTCAAATGCTTTTGTTAGGATGGATCAGATCTCGGGGAATATTCTCAGACATGGTCCATTGGTGTGGCCATTTAATTTGAACGTTTCAGAACCGAGTGGACCGACACACTCAAGGTAGATGTCATTAAAGTTCTGCCTTTCTGCAAAACAATTGTGTTTATCTGAACTCAGCTCCCTGACTGGCCTTGACAGGCCATCTTATCTCAACTCGCCTGAAAGTTTTTGTAAACCTGATGCTCTAACCCCCTCCCTCCCCTCCTACTGAGGAATTTCCATGGCCTTTTCAGAGGGGCCCAGCTGAATAAACATTCTGTCATCATTTCAGGACTCTTTGGATTTGTCCTTGGCTGTCCTTGGCACCCCCTGAGTGTGTACAAATATCTCCAGAGGGAATTATTTGAACCGAGTGATTTTATCTGAACTCTGCAGTGCCTCTGTGTGTTGTCTCTGACTGCTCACCATCGCTGCCCCTCCCCCCCACCCCCGCGCACGTAATGTTGGCGTCATTATGTGCTAATGTGCGGGATTTTTTTCATTATCATGCTGTTAATCTTCAACCAAAGATTAAGAGCGTGTTAGGAAATTTTTAGGAAATTTTTTGACTCCAAACCCTATGTGTCATTTTTCACCACTTTTTATTGTCTGCCCAAACGGGTCTCACTTGTAAATACTGTAAGTCTTTGAGGCTCAGTGTAACTTATCTGTTTAAATAAAGGTTGAATTGAATTAAAAATTCCTCTGTCCCTTATAAACAATGTAACTCCTTAATGTCTTGCACCACAAACACTAAATTGACAATAACTACACAATCATGTCGAAAACTTCAATCACTATTCACATCCTTGATCAATGGGTGACATTGGTGTACGCTTGTTAGGATCATTTTTGTCACACTTGACAAGACATCAGTTTTTTTTTGATCCAATGAAAATTAACCTGAAACCATAACTCTGATTTATTGTACTAAAGGAGAAAGTTGCTTTCATTAACTTGAGATGCTTTTTTTTGTCCTTCTCTTGGTTGTGCAGGTTGTGAGGAGATCTTAAAGATGGCCGTAGTTCCCCTGAGTCTTACTCCTCGCCAACAGTCCGTCACAGACAATGGTTATATCTACCAGGTAAACTCCTGTTCATTAAATAGATCCCGTTTATCTCTCACTGCTGAAAAGCAAAGATGGAGTGAGAAAGTTTTTGCCTGTTTGTCTGTTTTTACCAAACTATTTCATGAACTCTTCAATTCAGTTTATTTATAAAGCTCCCAGTCACAACAGAAGTCATCTGTTCTAGATAGTGTTCTAGAATTGTGCCGCTCAAGGTGGCTGCATGTTGGAGCAGCTCTGTTGCATTCATTTTGAGATTTTGCTTTTGGAAACTTTAATTCCTCTTTTTCTGGATGTAAATCACGTTTTTTGGATGGTTGTTTCCTCTGGTATCGGATGCTGTGCAGCTGGAAGGATTTTTACTGAAACTTTTTTAGTTTTGGACATTTGTTATTATGCGTAACCATAGCAACAAGGCAGTTTTCTACAACCAACAGCAGCTGATTAACATCTCAAAAGCTCAAATAACATCTCAACTACAGCCCCACATCTCAAATGAGTTGAAAGGATGTTCTGTAGATGCATTCTCATCTACCTGCCAGCTGTGCTCGAGTGCCTGACCACTGAGATCCTGGAACTAGCAGGAAACACGGCTCATGACAGCAGAAGGACAGGATCGTCCCTCGGCACCTACAGTTGGCTGTCCGCAGTGACGAGGAGGTCGGCAGACTGCTGGGAGAAGTGGCCATCGCTCTGGGAGGAGTTCTGCATGGCTTTCGGGCGGTCCTACAGCCTGGTGGAACCAAGAGGCCAGCCAAGTCTGGGTGGGCGGATCGGACGGCATCTGCAGCCAGTTTCTTAGGATCCACTGTGGGATGGACCTTTACAAGAGATCCTTCCTGCCTACAGCCATCAATATCTATAACATCTCTTAATGAAATGAGAATAACGAGTTACAACAACAAATAATTTCCCTTTGGGATTAATAAAGTATTTTTGAATTTGAATTTGAATAAGAAAGCCAACACACGTTAAGGATAAAAAGTAGTTACAAATACAAAACAGGTAGAGCAAAGTAAAGACAGCAGCAGAGTGAAGAAATGTGGTCAGTTTGTCTGTCCTCCAGCAGTCTATCCCAATAGAGCAGAACTAAGGGATAGCTCAGGAAACCCCATCCAACCCTAACTATAGGATTTATCAAAAAGGAAAGACTTAAGCCTAATCTTAAAAATAAACGAGATGTCAGCCCCACAGACATGATCCATGGCCATCAGTGAGTCAGCCTTCAGGTGGAAGAGAATGTTTTAGTAGACAGCAGGTTCTTGAGGCAGGAGGTTCTCAGCCATCTCAACCACGTTATAAATCTCAATAAAAACGTTCATAACTCTCAACTGAAAAATCTCTAACAAAAGCTAAAGGCTACAAATCAGCGCTGCCCTTCAGTATCTGCATCGCAGCCCCAGACTGCTGTCATACATTTGCACTCCTGTAGGTATTAAAGAGTGCACAGTTTTCGTACTGAAAGTTATGGACAAAATGAGGAATGTGCGTGTTACACAATCCTCAGTCTTTAGACCCATTGGCAGGCAGGCAAGCGAGGCAGGAGTTTAAAATAAAAATAATTTATTTTAAACAACAAAACAAAAAGGCTGGCATGGCAACAAAAAACACAAGTAGGATCAGGCAGGCAAAAACAGGACGGGTACAGATACGGGAGGATAATTGGACAAACAGGAACAGAGGAGGACTGAGTCGTCCGTGCATAACAGAACAATGACTGGACGCAGAGTGGAGGAGAGAAGAGCTTTAAATAAGGCAGAGGAAAAGTGAGTAATGAGAGCACCTGGGCAAGTAGCTGATGAGGGACAGGTGTGAATGATAAAGACTGGGAGACTGGAGAGGCAGACTGAGGAGTGAGTGGAAACTGACATGAAACACAGAGTCAAAATACACAAGGAACAGAAGGACACAAGCGGAACGAAATTAACACAATAAGCAGAGAAAGGGGAAGACAGAAATACAAAGTCAGACAAGGGACAGACCGTGTCAGCGTGGTCACTGAAATATTCAGGTTTATCATGCGGTGTGCCATAGGCGTCGCAACCATTATATGTGGTCGGCTGTGGCTGAGTGGTTAGAGCAGTCGTCCTCCAATGCGAGAGTTGGGGGTTTGAATCCACCAGCAGTCACATGCTGAAGTGTCCCTGGGCAAAACACTGAACCCCTCATTGCCTCTGATGTGTGTCCCATCGGTGTATGAATGTGATCTAAAAGCACTGATTAGTCTCTTTAGAATGATTTGTTCAATTATCTTTAGCACTTAGAGTATCTTGAAATAAGATAGAAAGGTGCTATATAAGTACAGTCACTTTACCATATGTGAAGGGGACATACCATACCATACCATACCATTTTATTTATAGAGCACTTAAAACAGCGACAAGGCCAACCAAAGTGACGTACAGACAGAACAACAGACAACACACAAAGCAAAATACCAAATGAAGAAATGTCAAAAATATAGACATAAAAATGATGCAGATAATGACGACTAACCAGTGTGGAGCATACAGGTTCAAAACACAGATCATCTGGTGTTGAAAGCTACTGAATAGTAGTGGGTTTTTAAACGGGACTTGAAAGCCGAGAGGGAGGGTGCCTGTCTGACAAGCAGAGGTAACTTGTTCCAGAGTCTTGGTCCTGCTACAGAGAAGGCCCTGTCACCTCTGCGCTTAAGACGAGTTCCTGGAACTGTGAGGAGCAACTGGTCCACTGACCTCAGAGAACGTGGTGGGACATACGGTTGCAGCAGATCAGAGAGATTGGGGGGGGGGGGGCGAAACTGTTCAGTGATTTGTAGACATACAGGAGTATTTTGAACTGGATTCGAAAGTGAACCGGTAACCAGTGCAGTGAGGCCAAGACTGGTGTAATGTGCTCTCTTTTGCCTGTACTGGTTAAAAATCGGGCTGCTGCATTCTGGACCAGTTGTAGTCGTGCAATGGAGGTCTGACTGATACCAAACAGGAGTGAATTGCAGTAATCAAGCCTAGATGTAATGAATGCATGTCCCCCCCACATTAAAAAAACGTTTATTTGGACCCCCCACACACTTTTCCTATGAAACATTAGTTCCGTCGGCGCAGTTTCTCTTTCTTCATGAACAAATTCATTCCATTTGATTAATAGGAGAATACTCAAGCCACTAATACCCCTTTTCCACGGTCACGGCGCGGGTCGGATATTTCCGGCTTGATGCGTGTTTGAGGTCTTTTCCACTGTTCCTTGGACCGGCTCACCTCCCTAAATTCTGGCCCGGCTTTTCAAGGGGTCCAAGCGAGCCGAGCCGTGACGTCAGAAACTGTCGGTCACTGATTGGTCTGTGGAGTCTTTCCAAACAACCCGATGCGCCATTTTTCTCTACCGCCTGCCATTGGCGATAACTCAAGGAGCGTATCTTTTAGTATTTTGAAGCTATAAAAAAACAATAATATCAAAGCCGTGGTCAAATGCAGAAGTGCAGGTGTTGTTGTGCTTGGTGGCCCACGAAAAAAGTCAAAGCGAGCTAGATGGAGCAATTGAAGGGTGGTTTGGACACGGCCACTGCTCTACTTGAATCGTTTATAGAAGATGGTGAGTGTTTTCTAACTTTAAACATATTTTAGTTACTCATCCCATCGGTTCTAAACATATTTTTAACTAACAAAAGAGGCTGACGCCATAATAGGACAACATCGGTGCTACGATGCTAAGCTAATTTGCATAAACGCTAACTGTCCTCCGTTCCCGTTTCTCATTGTATTTTATCCAGAACGTATTTCAGCGCGTGACGGTTCATCTCTAAACTCCACATTAAACCCTCCAAGCCTCCCGGCTTCTGCTCCTGCTCCATCAGAGGAGTCTACACCTGACAGAGCTCCATCACAGCCCAGCTGCACCTCACAGAGCAGCACAACGCTGCAGCCTTCTGTGCTCGGTAAGAACAGATGCAACATGTTCCACATCACTTTATTTGTGCCGATAAGGACTTGATTTATTTTATTTTTAAAGTAATAAAAAATGTTGAATAAATACTGAATTGGGATGAAGTTATGTACACAGGGTCCCAGTTACAGACAACAAAATGTAAAATAAAAACAGTAATAAGATCTAAGATATGAATTAAGAAAAATATCAACTAAAAACATCTACTAATAATACACTAAGCACTAATAGCAGTAAACAATCAAAACAATACGTCAAACAGCAACATGAACTAGAGTTTGTGCAGTGTTATGAATATCTAACCAGGATAGTCATGTTGCTGCTGATCTGTTTCATGTTGCTGCTGATCTGTTTCATGTTACTGCTGATCTGTTTCATGTTGCTGCTGATCTGTTTCATGTTACTGCTGATCTGTTTCATGTTGCTGCTGATC